ATATATACATATATATATATATTATAAAAAATATTTTACACCCAAACAAACAAACGACCTATATACCACTCTAATGTAATAAAAAGAGCCTCGTGATAGCCAGCCCCTCCTATGTCAGGAATTGACTTTGTACTTTCAAGGGCTTGAGTTTAAGAAGAATGTCAATTATGTGCTTTTCGTTGTCATATGGAAACTTCTGGATTGTGGACTCTTACATTTAGTAACCATCTGGTAATTAAGTGAGGAATGAAAACTTTTAAAATTACTTGCCTTGGATGAATCATATAGCTAGCTATGGGACTGAGAGAGAGGAAAAATGTTCAGAGCTTGTGTGTGTGAAGAAGTTTACAGTTTTTTCAAGGTGCCTCCAATTACTTCAATGACTTGTTGACTGAGAACCATAAGAGGTCTCTGGAGTATGTTTTCATTGTTAAGCTGGGCACCACACACCAAAATACCCATCTATTATGGGACGGAAGAAATATCTAATTCCATTAAATTAATATAAAATTAAAATGAGAGTGCTTCATTTATCTTTTACGGAGTATTATTTTTGCTTTTGATTTTTCTCACTTTAGCTCCACGAGCCTTATAACACAAGTTGTGATGTGTGTCTAGGAAAAGACTGAATAGTCAAGTTTCGAAGAATCAAATACATTAGGTGTTCTACTACTAGAATAAAGCTGTATTAAACTGAAAATTGTGAAAACACAAGGAAGTTGCCAATATTTTTCGCTCCAATTTGAAAAATGCAAATTATACTTGTTCTGCTGACAAAGAAGAGATGCAATGTGGACTAATTGTCGCTCTTCCACAGCACTCAAAATAATATATATATATATATATATATATATATATATATATATATAGGGGTCTGCGTGTGTTCCTATATCTACATCTATGTAATCTGTATCTGTTGATGAAATCTGTTATGTTTTTGGACTTTGTGTCCATGTGGACGATGCTCCGTCACCTATTACTACATAATCATTGCATAATTTAATTTTTAAAGGAGTCAAGTTTTTATGTCCCATCATAAAAATGTTATAGCTTTTTCTTTATCTTTTGAGGTGTGTATTTCTTGTTAATGAAAATAAATAAATAAATAATATTATCAAAATTATTAAAAAAATGTCCACAACTCAGATCTTTTATATTTAAGAGATTTTTTCTTTTCATCATAAATTAAAATTAAAAATATTTTCTTATAACTGAATCAAACGAACCTTACGCTTCTCTATTCTCTATCCACGGGTAGATGAAAGCGAAAAGTATATGACTGAAGTAAAAACTAATATCTATTCTCACCTTGGGAATAATTTTGTTCACACATTTGATAAAAAGGAACAATTGTTCTTTATTAGTAGTTGTGTGTATATATTATGGTGGGGTTGGTTTCCAAAGCATACAAAACTTCTAGGAAGGATCACTCCTTGAAGGAGGATCGACTTAGGTCTCCTCAATTGATATAGTTTTTAGTTTAATTTTTCTACGATTGGATCATAAAAATAGTATATAACTTTCTTCACTTGATTTGCTTTCAGCCTTTTTAACTTACTCACATGACATAACTATATAAAAGGAAAACATGATATTCAGGTTGGTTAATTACCAGGCTAAATTCCCAATGACATACGTGCCTCGGACTTTCATTTTCTACATTATTTTCAGGTTGATTATAAGAATGGCGGAGTCAGGATTTTGGGGGGGGGGGGGGAGGGGGAAAGAAAAAAAAAAAAATTCAAGCAGAGAATTTATTGGGAGGGAAAAAAAATTATTAGTTCTTCTGAGAAATCTAAATATGAAGAAACTCGGATCCAACAACGTGATTCAACACAAAACAATCAAAATTTAAGTAGGGAAACTGATATCCAAAATTTTTAGACAATAATAAAAAATTAAAAAAAAACCAAATCACAGTATCAGATTTTAGAAAGAGATAACCTGGAGAGAGATACTAAGTCAAAGCACGAGAGGGCACAAATGCGATGTTTCAGAAAATTGTTACCTATATATCTTATATCCCTAAATTTGGGCCTAAATTTTGAAAGCAAAACACCAAAAACAATATCACATTATGCCAAACAGCCCTAGGTCTTCTTCAATCTTCAAGTTCTAATTTGTTTAATTGTAGGCTTTTTTTCTGGTTGAGCCATTTATCATTTATGTTTTATTATGGATTGGGCTAGGCTGGGCTATGGCTAATAAGAAATAGTAGTACTAAATTTTTATTTTTTTTGAGAGTTGGGCTAGCTATAGCTCAGGTTAGCCCACAAGGAGCTTTGCCTTGATTATAAGTGCTTCATACTCGGTTTGAATGTTTGAGTGTTTGAAGTCAAGGGAAAACGAGAAGAAGGTTTGAATTTTGGTCGGTGATATAATTGTTATTCCAACTCTTTTTGTATTAACAGAATGATTAATGCTAGGAGAAGATGAAAAAGATAAATGATTCGAAAAGAAAGGCGACAAAAAAAGATAAAAAGTAGGCGTCTGAACCTCTTTAAACGCTAGAGAGCTGCCGATTATATCATATTTTAAACTATGTTCATTTATCCTAACCTCTTCTAGCTATGCTAATTATCTCAAACTTTTTCTTCATATTTCCTCAAATTTCTTTTTAATGTTTATTCACGTTATAAAGAATGCATGCGTTTTTCAATAGATTATTTATTCTTTTGACATTCCTTAAAATTTAACGGTATGCTCAACTTAGACCTAATTAAATTTTATTAGTGTTTGGCAAAGGTCTAGGTTAAGTCCATCGAGCGAGATATATAAAACAACTTGTCGAAAATTGATGGGTATAATGGTTATTTTTGTTAGATTTTAATAATATTATTATTATTTTTTTTATAAATATTTTACGACAATCAAACACCAAAAAATATATATATATTTTATAAAAAATATTTTATATCCAAACAAAATACCACTCTAATGTAATAAAAAGGGTCTCATGATCGCTTATAGCCCCTATGTAAGGAATTGACTTTGTACCTTCATGGGCTTGAGTTTAAGAAGAAAGTCAATTATGGGCTTTTCGTTGTCATGATCATGGAAACTTCTGGATTGTGGACTCTTACATTTAGTAACCAATCTGGTAATTGAGTGGAGGAATGAAAACTATTTCAATTACCTGCCTTGGATGAATCACACGGCTAGCTATGGGACTGAGAGTGAGGAAAAATGTTCAGAGCTTGTGTGTGGAAGAAGTTTACAGTTTTTTCAAGGTGCCTCCAATTACTTCAATGACTTGTCGACTCAGAACTATAAGAGGTCTCTGGAGTCTGTTTTCATTGTTAAGCCGGGCACCACACACACACACACATAACTTAAAAGTTAAAATATAATATAACATTTCTGTATATACCCCTTTTGGGCTTGAGCTTGGGCTGGCCTATTATTTCCAAACCCCTTTGAGCAGTTGTCCAACTTTATACTGGAGAATTTGTACTTTTGGAGACTTTATAAAGTGTCTTATTTTTCAGGTGACAGCTACAAATGACACATTCAGGACAATTTTACTTCTCTCTTGACTCATGACATACTCAATTAAGTAATATAATTAGACCAATTTATTTCATGGTTACCTCAATACTTCTAATATAAAGGGTTCTTACAAATTTTTTAATTTTTTTTAATAGTATTGTAACATTAAAGAAAGAGGTGATATATATATATATATATATATATATATATATATATATTTGATAAGTAAAAGAGGTGATATTTTAATGTAGGAAGTTCCGTGTAATAACTCCCTACTAACCTTGTCGCGAATCCCTATTGAGAAGTTGAAAATTTAAAATTTTATTACTTTTTTTTTTCTTGCCAAAAACTATCACTTGGGAAGACATGAACTCTCTTTCACTTCCCAAGAAGAATAGCAAAATTGGGGTTTGCTGAGGAAAGAAAATGAGATGTCAATAATATTTAAAATGACTAGCATTATATAGTTGTTACTAATAGATAAAGATCTTTTATGCTAAAAATTGATACCTATGAATCATAACACGAAAGGGATTACCTTTGGCCAGATTATCAATTATTTAAATTCAGAGAAAACGAAATCCAGTAGGTGAGGAATATAAAAGATGAACTCATTTTTGAATGGAGGTACACATTAACAGAAATAAAATAACTTAATAAACTTAAAAATTTTCCTTCAGTCAAACAATCAATTAGAGAATTCTTTAAACCCAATGAATTGAGTTAGAGTTCTTAGAATAGTACCGAAATAATCCACACATTTGACTATCATCATGGGACTCGTGTGACGTTTTTTTAACGGTTGAATTTACACCATATATGCTTGAGGAGAAATTATTGAAGAGAATCCAATGGCTAGATATTAATGTAACAATTTCAACAGATTGGTTAACACAACTTCAAATTTTAATTAATAAAATTGAAGCCTCCAAAGACATTCAGATTATTGTGCACGCCGAGATAAAAATGCCTATCATTACATTGTAGGTGATAAATTTCACAATAGATATAGGGAATGCGTAAGAACCAGACAATATTTTAATACTGTGGTATTATATTTGTAATTTTTCTTTTCTTTTCTTTTCTTTATTTGGACATCTTTATGGATAAAGATGTTCAACCATTGTTGATCAAATTAGAAGGGTTGATCAAATTAGAAAAGGTAAGAAAGGAAGTTTAACCAAGCTGTATCCATAACAATGTAACCCCAATTCTGTAAAATCTGATGCATTCCACAACCACAACCACAACCACAACACATTTTCAATAAAGAAAAAGATGCAGGTACCAGAAACTTTTTGTTCAAAACGAATCACAAAAAATAGAAATTGGCCACAACCTAGTAGAAATCAACAACTTACTTTTACTTTACAATGAAAGTAAAACATATATGACATACCAGGTATTCAGCACCCTGTGATTTTGAAAAACACCTATTAACAACCATAAGTACTTAATATAACCATTCCGTCATCACTGTGCTGCACAATGTAAAATTTCCCCTGGATGTGAATTAACAAAAAAAAAAAAAAAAAAAACCAAAAACTGCAGAGCAAAAGTTGGATGTTTAACATGTTGAAGTCATTCAGCATCCTCATTCCTTCTATTGACCAAACCTGAAGAAAAGAGAAAAAAAAAAAAAAAGAAAAAAGAAAAAAGAAAAAAAAGATTAGTAAATAGGTAAGTGAATCACTCAGACACAAGTATATCAATTGATTCTCAATAACCTAAATATAAACCATAGAAAGGTTTATACCTTGAGAAGATCTTCGTCGCCGCATTTTTCTCACGATAAATCTTGGTCGCCAGATTTTTCTTATGATATTTTTCATGATAAGTTCACTGAAGGGCGTCTCTGGGACAGGTAATAATTTCCCAAGCACCGCAAGAGGCCAACTGGTTCAAGTGAATAAAAGAAAAAGAAAAAAGAATGCAAATCATCAAATATCATTTCTATTAGAATGTTCATTTTTATAACCAAAAGTGCATAATATTATTAATTGGTTGAGAGAGAAGTAGTTGAATAAAAGCTTATGGTGATATTTGCAATACCTGTGCCAAGTTTTCACATTCCTATATCCCCTCCATGATTGCAGTTTAAATAATCAAATTAAACAAGAGCAATACTACTACATCGGAAGTATGCATATGTGGATCCAGAAAAGAAACAAGGGGTAGGGAAAGTGTAATCTAGAATTTGTAATGTAGCATGCTCCAAGTACATCTCAGACACTAGAAGAATGTCATTAATTAACTGCGACATATCGAAATTACAAGTAGTAATAAACTAACCTGATAATGCCAATTGCAATGGAAACAAACCACAGTTTCCAGCAAAGCCTAACTGTTGAGGTAAATTTTCCAAGGAACATGATTATCATGACCTGATAAATAAAGACAAGAAGATATGTTAAACCATGTACGTAAAAACCAGCACACACACACACACACACACAGACCTGAAGCACAAGAGTTAGGCCCACTATCCCCATGAAGAGACGGTTTTTAGTAACTCCTTTGAATACATTACGTTCGTCAGGCTTCCGAGCATTGAACTCATTGAAAATCTGCAAAATTAATGGTTAGAAAGTTCTCCATTGGAAAAGGGGGGAAATTTTGTGATACAGCACATCCCTAGGAAATCATATCAAGAACTTCATGTTTAAATGTAGGAATTGCAGAACACCTAAGCCCAATTAAATTTTACCAGCAAGACAAATTCGCAGTGTGACCAGCCTCATAATAAGCTTCATTCATTGACCATAGCATCTGGTCCCAGAAAGCTTTTATATCTCGGCTTGGCTCAGTTGACATTCAGTAAACAAAGTCTACCTTCAAAGCTAACATTTACTTTATAAATGATTATATTTTTCTTGCCATCTATGAATAAGCATTTGGATGTGAAACGAATATATTGAAGTTAAAGTTAGGATGGTTAAGCATCTACCACAGAAGAAAGTGGAAAACAGGATCAATCTCATTATCCTGCCTTTAATGCAGTGACAATGAGAACAAATTAGGACAACCTCATTATCCTGTAGTATCTGAAAAAGAGATGAGCTATATGCACATTATTGGAGCTTGATAAGCTTACAGAGCCAGAATGGGTCGAGCACCACTCGTCAAAAAATGGACTCAGAACACTTTGAACCATTGATATTCAACTCAAACTACAGCCTCAATTATGGAGCAATCCATATAAGATTTTGAACAGAATCAAAAGGCACGATATCCCAAAGATTATGCATTTAGTTCACAGCACTGCATACCAATAAATGGCAAATAAACATGTCATTTTCCATTTTCATTTCCTTTATTCTGGTCAAGAAACATACCTGACAAAGGACAAAAGCATTGAATATCAGTGTATTCTTCACTTTGTTGGCATACACACGGTCTTTATGCTCTAAACCAAGGAGGCTTTTACCTCGAAAGTTGAGAATAAGCAGGACAGTCACTTGATATAAAGCCTGTAATAATTCAACCACCACCAATTCTCGTCAATCATGAAGAATAATTTAACCAAAAAGAATTAATTTTTGCTCCCTCAAATTATGAAATTTCTATAGCAAAGAATAGTTGCCATAAACATAGACGTTCCTTCTTCATACACTTTTTAGAATTAGAGATTACACATTCAACTGATGTTGGATTGGAAAGAGAGAATACCTGTATTAGTAAGTTCATCCACATGATATTTGTTATCAGAGGTTCCCTGAGAAAGATAAAAAAGCATAGTGATCAGTGGATCAGTGCTGTCTAATTATCAACCAGTGAACAAATAGAAGTAAAGAATAAAACATCAAATATATGAAGAAATAAAAAAAGAAAAAAGAAAAAAGCCCAGAAGTTATAACATCTGTGCCAATCTTATTCTAAAACGTGTACAGATAATGCGGAGAAGAAAACATACAGATTTGCGAAGTAAAGAGGCATCTTGAGTTTATCATATTAAGTGCATCATGGGAATTATCAAAGGATCTTCATGAAAAATTATGAAAATAGAAAGGTGAAAAGATTACTTTAAGAAGTTGTTAAATGAAAATTGTATAAGAAATTTACGATTAGAAGAATTTGATAGCCTTAGGAAGGATTAGAGAAAACAATTTATTTTTTCATAAAATCAGGATTTGCTAGGTAAACAACGTACTGCAAAAGAATAAGAAGAGCTTTATAACCATCCTTTTTATAGGATGATCATGTGTTGGACAACAAAATAGTTTAATAAGGTCATAATAACAAATAAAGGAAAGTCTAATGAGTGTGTAAAAAAGATCAAGTACAAATATATAAAAAAATAAATGGGATACTCAATATCGTGGAGATTATAGAACTATGAAATTAATACATTAGCAATTACTAAATTTTGAAACTAAATCAGTTAGGAAACTTACTGAACAGACTAATGAGAAGATATGAAGAGAACAAAGATATTTACATAGAATTTATAGATTTGCAGAAAGCCTATGATAAGGTCCAAAAAATATAACATGGCAGATTTCAAAATAAAAATTTGTCACAAAGAAAGACACACAAATACACAAACACAGAGCGAGACCAGAGAAATAAAGTTTGGAAACGAGAAATGTCTAGATACTTTTTTCCTAAAGTAAGAAATGTCCAGATAAACTATCTTTCAAAAAAAATATGGCTATGTTATCTAATGAAGTTTCCATTGAAATTGCCCTACTATTTTGGCCTTATTCAAGGAACCAAAAAGAAAAAAGAAAAAAAAGAGAGGGTATTTCTCAGTATTTATGTGGTAAAGAACTGCTTAATATAATATTATAGATAATGCGTAGAAAAGAAATCGATCATAATAAGTAAGTTTTTAAATATATAAAGAAATGCATACAAAAAAGTAATAAAGAAAAACTCGGATCAATCACAACTATCAGAAATAACATGCCTTCATCAATTAAATACATTGACCGATCTCCCTATAACTAAACATAAGAACTAACCATTACTTCATGAGCCATTGTATGTTCAGCCACTAATTTTGACAAAAAATGAACATTGTTACAAAGATGAACATCTGGCCTTCCTTTTTTGCGTAGTGAGTTCTGTTCCAAAAGTATGTTATCAGAAGTCTCAGAAAAATTAACTAATAATTCTATTAGTTGATAGAAATGGTTTATCCCACATTTATTAATTACAAAAGTCAACAGTAAATAAAAGGCATTGGGAAATGGCCAAAAAAAAAAAAAAAAGAATGCAAGAAGAACAATAGTACTAAAAAACCTGATAAAACATCTTTTAATATTTTTGCCAAAAACACTAGAAACATTTTAAAAAAGATGAGCATCAGACCTTTCTTCTGTGAAGTGAGTTCTGCTCCAAAAGTAAGTTATCAAAAGTCTCAGAAAATTTTACTAACTCTATTAGTTGATAGAAATTGTCCCACATTTATTAATTTTAAAAAAGTCGACAGTAAACTAAATAACGGTTTCGGTCCGGTTTTGGGCTTAATCAGAAACAAACTGATCTGAACAGTTGCTAAAAAAATTGAACCTGGAAACAGACTGTTGGAACTGTGGAACCGAACCATAAAAGAATGGTTCGGTCTGGTTCTATCCACGATTCTGAATTAGTAATGGAAACATATGCCATCATCATAACATGTGATTGCATACCTGCTGGATTTTATAGTTTAATCTCCTATTTCACATTTTTTATATACTTTTTCAAAAAGCATGAGATTTTTTTATTTTTAATTCCAGAAAGAAAGCAAGAGATTGAGACTCAAACTATGTAACGTAGTGACAAAAGCTCTATTAGGTGCATGTATTATAAAACAAAGGACAAACTTTATAGATGTGAACAAATTATAATTTAACAAAAAAGTGACACCATTATTATATATATAAATTTAGTTAATGGTCCGGTTCAGTTCTGATGGACCTCAAATGAGTCAAACCAGAACTGAACTGTGAGTTGGTTCTCTGTTTCTGGAACCGGAACCGGAACCGGACCAAATCAAAGCAGAACTGGACCATAGCTAGGATCATATCCATCCAATTTGCAAACATAAATCAGACAACTTTTCCAAATTCTTTAAGCCTGATATTTTGAAATATGCTCTGTCCTGTCAAATATATATTAGTTCTAGACATGGACTCAAACCCATACCAATTCTTAGCCAGCTCTACGTTGGATAAGACTGAATCAAGACTAGATAAAAACGTCTATTCCAAAAAATTTCAAAATCTAGAGGTCTAACCTCCGACCCACTGGAGGCCTGTGCATCAGGTGATCCGTTGGTGGTTCAGTAGCCAGCGCTAGCGCTCCAAGAGTATCCATAATAAGGTTAACCCAAAGAAACTGTACAGACAAAAAGAAGAGGACAATATAAGGCATTGACCCACACATACACACACAGAGAGACAGAAAGGCACGCAAGGAGAGAGGGAGGGAGGGAGGGAGGGAGGGAGGGAGGGAGAGAGAGAGAGAGAGAGAGGATACCTGCACTGTGTTTAAGGGGGCATCACCAGAGGAAACTGCAGCCACGACATTAATTATTAGAGCAGCAACATTAACTGTGAGCTGAAACTGAATGAATTTTTTAATATTTGCATAAACAGATCGGCCCCATCGAACAACCTGCATTTGACAGACAGAATCACTTATTTATGTTCCTAAATTCTTATTCTTTAATTTTGAGCTTCCAACTTATTCAAATAGAGACACTTGAATACAACATATAGATAAAAATAAATAAATAAAATTTGGCCTAGACAAGCAATTTCCTGCGGAATTGTGGATCCAAGTCAGGATGGCTAAGCAATAAACTACTCTGAGATGTTGAAGGATAATTTCAAGGACCTCAACCACCAACCATCCTTAAAAATCACTTCTCTAAAGGACCAAACGCTATACAATAAAAAATACAATAATTCTGTAAAAGATATTTCCTATACTGACTGTCCAAAATGCCTAGAGACAACTTGCATAGATATCTGGGTGCAATTAAGTTTCAGTAGGTCCTAGTATTGATCCTTGGCTGGTACTGTATGCAATTGTGCTAGTGAAAAGCAAAAGAAAAAAGTCATTACCCAGTTTATGTCCAACAGGGTAGAAATCACTACCTCGTTGATGCTATTATTGGGAACTCTTATTCAAGAGGCAAAACTTGGGTTTATTCCCCTTCCAAGAAAAGAAAAGAGGCACACCAAATGCTTCTCACAGAAACAAGATTCATCAAACTGATCCTACCAACCTGATTATATCATACTAACCTTTACAACGGAAGCAAAATTGTCATCCAATATAATGATGCCTGAGCTCTCTTTGGCTACTTCCGTTCCTTGGATACCCATGGCAAGACCAATATCGGCCTAAACTCCAAAGTAATTGCAAACTAATTTATGTGAATATATCAGAAATAAAGTTAATGCCTTTTTGAAAGACAGATGAAACTAATAAGCAAAGAAAAAAAAATGCCAGAACAAGCTGACAGTTGAAGTCCATCAACCGACAACGTGTTGCACATCTGGAAAACCCGTAAAGTCTCACCATTTATGTGTTCCATAGATTTTTTTAATTTTTTTTTCAAAGCAAGCAATGTTCCATAGGAAATTTATTAAACAAAACTTGGGTGAAAAGTGGAAACTTTTTTGTATGGAATCCAAAACGAGGGGAGGAAAATAGGGTACAAATGTAACAATTCTTACGGCTAACAATCAAGAAAAAGAATTCCCTAAGCTGTAGTTGTTGAACAAATAAGTTTAGTGTTTCAAATTGATTGAGTAATATTGTTTCCAAGAGGTGAACATGTAAATGGAACACATAAACAATGGAACCTGCATTTAAAAAAACATATAACTCATCCAATTGCAAAGATCAGATTTACAGACTTCTACCATCCATCCAACATGTCCATCGTGATCCTATCATACCTCATGTAGTGCAGGGGCATCATTAGTGCCATCACCAGTTACAGCAACAACATGTCCCCTTTTCCTCAATGCTTGCACAAGCAAGAACTTGTCGTTAGGAGAAGACCTTCCCATTACCTGTGCATCAAATGGAAATTATTATTTATTTATTCATTATAATTATTGTTATTATTAATATTGGCTTTCTCGACACATTTCACTTCAACTTCAAGTCTATGAACACTTATAATAGTTTACATATATTGCAGTACAAATTGAGATAATACCGATATCTTCTCAGCTGTATCTAGTCTTTGCACTTCTGACAAGGCACGAAATGCCTTCCCTTCAATGAGATTTGGCTCAGTAGCATCTGCATCTGACCCCAGTATCCCGCATTCTAGAGCAATTGCTCTAGCTGTCTGAAGATTGTCACCAGTGACCATCCGTACCTGTACATCGAATTTTTTCCAACCAATTGTTTCAGATAATACAACATACAAAACTATTTATACATATGCATATATCACCAAATCCATTAACTTATTTAATATGAGCAAGCTGAAAACTTGAAGAAACCTCCTAAGCCAATAAACAAATAAGAACTTCTTCTTGTCAAATATTTGCAATGAAAATCAACATATAGAGCCCAAGAAAGCATCTCCTCAAATGCTTGAGAAGAACAAGTTCAGTTAATCAAAAAAGCATCAAAACTTCAATGAGATAGAAGACTTCATATGAAAAGCTTAATTGCATGTTGCTGTCAGTAACTTTTCTGAGAAAAGGTAATTTAACTTGGTTATAGAGCAACAAGAATATTAAATTCAATGTTGAAGACTGATAAAAAAAATGTCTAACTGTGGGTAACAGGGTTCTGTTGTGTAGATGGATGTTCAGTGCCAAGGAAGATGAAAACCTAGAAACTGTATTAGGGTGAAAACCAACTGACTTTAGGGGAATAGAGAGATGATGTACAGAACTGGGAGAAGTTTGTGGTCACTCATGTCCTCCCTTTCGTTGATGTTAAAAAAAAAAAAAAACCATTTCAAAATTTGGTTAAATTTTGTTTATTTCCCTTAAGAATAAAACTGATTGTGGAAACAAGATCTCTAATTGGGGAGAGAAAACCACTCACAGTAAGATTGAGTAGAACTAGGGCTGCAAACGAGCCGAGCCGTTCACGAACTACTTGAACTTGGCTCGATATGCAATCGGTTCGTGTTCATTTATTTATTAAACAAACCAAACCCAAACAAAATTATTAGGTTCATTTATTAAACAAACCAATCTCAAACGTACCTATGCTCAGCTATTTTGTCCGTGAACTATGTAAAAATATGATATATATATCTGTAGGATTTAGCCCATAATATGGTCAATATTTTTTCTTGTCTATTAAAGCCCAGCCCAGCCCAACCCAATTAGTTTCACTATTTTAAAAAACACAATAAGTCAAGCCCATAACCATCTAAGCCCATCTTATATATATTCCATCTAAACTAAAATCCTCATATTCACTCCTTACAACACAAACAAACTCTAGCCACACCAGTCCCCACCGGACACACGAACCTTCTCTTCGGCAAGTCACAGCCCATCTTATTTATATTCCATCCAACCTAAAATCCTCATATTCACTCCTTACAAACAAACCCTAGCCGCACCAATGCCACCATACAAACCCACCCTAGCCGCACAAATCCCCACCACACACAAAGCTTCTCTTCGGCAAGTCACAGAACCGCAAAATCAAATTCACTCCATCAACACTGCAACGAATTGAAGGCAAGAGTCGCTCACTCTCTCTTTCTCTCTCATCTTATTCCTAATCTGCACTCACCACTCTCCATCCCTATCATATGGCATCACTGGTAGAATTGTGAGTGCCTTTGGATGGCACAAACTTGTGGAGATTGGAGATTGGTACTGAAGATCAAAACTGCCCCCAACCAATTGAAATGATTAGGAACGACATATACACACATATTGTATACATATCGGTAAATTGTATAATATATAGCATCGTTTGTAACGTGAACCAACTCAAGCCGAGTTCGAGCACTGAGGTTGGAGCTCGAGTACTTCTACTGCAGGCTGAGCAGAGCTCAAACAGGCCACTACTTGGCTCGTTTGCAACCCTAAGTAGAACTGTAGAATTTGACCTAAATTTAAAGGAAAATGTTAGTACGGAGGACAACTGGAGGTACACCTGCCAGAAAAAACAATGCCAAATTGAGATGCTAACACAACGAGCATGCCAACTGCAATGTGGCGAATGTGACTCTCCATTTAGGGCATCAAGCTGTAAACTGCAAAGGAAACACCTTGACAAACAGCCTTTCACAAAGACCATAAACCCTGGCATGGTAAAAGTCTGTAGCCAATAGATAAGATTGTATTCATTCATTCATAATGTATTGTTCAGCATCTGAACGAGATCGTGTAATTTTCCTTGTTTTGTTTTCCATTCAAAATGTCTCATCTCTTTACAGCTTTGTGATTGTACATTTTTACTTGATTGATTGATAGGTTAATCAATAAATGCAAAGTGAAAATTTGAATAATAACCGAACCGGAAAAAAAGTGAACAATTGACCCCCTTCAGAAACTGTTATATAAGATTACATACATTACTCCAAACATCACTTTGGCATAATTTAAAGAGATACTTCTGTGATTCCATTGCTCCAAAGTCGTCTTTGAATGGCAATGCCATCAGAAACCCCTGCCCCTCCATGCAAAGCGGTTTAAGGAATAACTGGTTTGCAGTTGACTGGGTCAATGAGAAATTGGTTAAGGGAGAAAATAGATAAACCTCGCAAGGCCTTATGTTCAGGCTGATTTTTTTTTTGATAGATCTTATGTTCAGGCTGATTGGGTCAAAAAGAGACTAGCCAAGATTTGAGTTGCAGCACATAGCCTTGGAGTTAACATCCAAACAATGGAATGGAAAAACAATGGCGTGACGTATCACCAAGCTAGTGCCTTGAGGATAGCTTGTAATTAGTTTGCTAATTTTGCTTATTTATATAAAAATTTGTAGTGCTCCCATATATAATATATTTTGAGTAATGAAACAGAAGCAAATGATTGACAAAAGGAAGGTATTATCTTCGTTAATTTGAATAAACAGGTTGAAGAGCCTCAGCTGCAAAATCAAGGAGAATGGAGTGCCTGAGTAAGTTCTCTTCCAAAACCAGTTGGCCCAAGGATCAAGAGAAGCTGTTCTGTATAAGATCAAGGGAACTCTAAGAAGGTCCTACAGATACTTTTAGCAAAGTTATTATGTAAGTGGCTTATGCCTGTCCATTCTCTCTAAAGATAATGATAGGGTGTAGAATTATAATGAGTAATGTTTTAAGATGCAAGAAGTCATCTGAAAAGTCTGGAGATAAAAGGGTCTGATGGGTATCATTATGTGACAGAATCACCTTAGCAATACAGAAAAGACGAATTAAATTTTCAGACACAAAATTAGAAAATGTTGAGCCAGTTGCTCATCTCAAAGTCCATAATCCGGATGTCACCTTTCGCAGCTGACAAGCAACATGAGCTTGAGCTAGTAAGATACAACGTCCGAGAGTAAGAAGCAGGCACGGATCTATTGAGGGCTCAGTGGGGGTGTCCGCCCCCACTGAATTTTTTTGTTTCTGTATTATTACCCAAAAAAATTTGAAATTGTCTCCACTGAATTACAGATAAACCCCACTATATAAGTTTGCCCCCCTATCACATAATTGTTCACAGAATTTATTCCCCCAGACACTCAGTTTTTTGTGACAAATTGAGGATCATCTAAATTCCGTACCAACAAAAAAGCAGGTGGCATGTAGAAAAACCCTCTACGGACGACATGTCCTAGTGAAGAAAGAACCATGGAATTGTCAATGTACCCAAACAGTCTTAGAAGTAAAGAGTTCTCCAAAAATAGTTGATATACTTGCCTTCAGTCCAAAAGAGAATATACAGTATTACGCTATGATTTGTTTCTAAATTCCTAACATGTGGACAATCTTGTTAAAGCATTACTGCCTCTTTTGCCATCACATGCTAATCATATCCTTCCCATTGCATCCGGCTATAAAGGTTAAAATCACCGTTACCACAAGACTTCTTATGATAGGATAGAGGTAGCCATTCATCATGTCTGAAAAACATAGTAAAGAGAAAGAAAGGAAATGATTGTTTTATTCTGTGAGTAGCAAGGGAAAAACAGAAATTCACTTGTTTTAAAAAATAGGGCCAAAATGGGTAAACACCAACTCTCCTATTCTTTGCTCCCATGGGAAGGACAGCAAAATCACTATTCAAAGGGTTAGGGTATCCATCATCCTCCCAAACCCAAACCCTCCCTTTCTCTTCTCATTTGCTAAATGGATACGAACTTCTCCTTTTTCTCTCTATTATTCCCTCAATCCAAACGAGGCCTTCTGCAGAGCAATGGGTGAGGACACCACAGGTCGATAGAGGAAGAGATCCCCTGCACTTTGAAGATCTAAACCTTCATAAATCCTTTTCGAGGATCTAAACCAGCATAGATCCTTAGGTACAACAATCCCCAGATTAAGGGGAGCGAGGGTATAAGGGTAGTGGTTTACATTTTTATCCGTCAGTGGCAAATTTTTTGAGAAGATAATTTTTTAATACACTGACATGAGAAAGAAAAGATAAAGCCGTAGTCATGCTGCTGGGCACAGAATGGCATCCAACAAGCAACCATGTTACTGCTCCACGATGAAGAACATAATCATAAAGTATATAAAGCACATAACCATTCACCTTCACAAATTCTATATGTGATCAGTATCATAAATCAAAAGTACAAAACATACCTTAACACCACCATCGGTGCATAATTTAACTGCATCTCTCACACCAGGCCGACAAGGATCCTGTGTTAAAATATATCCATTTATGTGAAAATGACTCTTTTTCTTTTATTGGGTAATACGTAACTTGAAAGTATTAAGTGTTTATTCAAACAATAATATTACAGAAATAAAAAAGTATAATGTTCAAATGACACACTGAAGAGAAGAGAACACTATAACTCACATGACACAAACTCAAAGAACATTGGATTAGGACTTGTGTTGGCTTTATTAAATATGCTGTCAAGTGCAGTTAAGCAAGCGCAAAATAAAGCTTACAAAAGATGTTAAATAAATTATTACACTTACGCATCAACTAAAATATGAGGTCTACTCTTGTATAGAAACTGAGATTTGAAAGAAATGGAGTAATGAAATGAAGAAATCTGTTTCTTTTATCAATAATGTTTTACAAATTTACCCAAACAAACTGTACAATTTCTATGTCATCATGAAATATTCCAAGTAGAAAACAGATCCAAACAAAAGTGTGTCCAAACAAAAAAAATTGGAATCATGACCAAAACCACAAATGTATTCCAAGTAACACATCGGACTTTTGAACCACAAACATCTTTGTCAGTGAAGGCAAATAGTAGAGGTATTTCTTGGAAAAAGAAAAGAACTAAACTAAAAGTAGTTATAGCATTATTTCTTACATGAATTGCATGATTGTGACTCATAATTATACCCGTATATTGAAAAAAAAGATACATATTGACCAAAAAGTGATAAATAAAAATTATTATATAAAAAAAAAAAAAAAAAAAGGAGAGCAGTGCATTAGAACAATTCACAACAAATCGAAGTGCAAAAGAAAAGTTCCTAGTACCTCAAATATGAAAATCACTTGATAAACAATATATATACATATATACGCACATACATATGAAGATAATTTTTTAAAAGAAAAGGTAAAAAATCAAGATCATCGGCATATTTTGAAATAATAACAAATTGCAATCCGGTTTAAAATTTTGAATTTTGCACTTTGCAAGCATATCGATCAAAGGAAGAATAATACCTTCAAACCAACAATAGTTAACAACACAAGGTCATCGTCAGGTATTTTCCATTTAGTCAGTTCTTCATCATCAGTTGGAACTTTTTCCACTTCGTATGATCTATAAGCAATAGCAACACAACGCAAACTTCGAGCAGCCATATCTTCAATAGCATTTTTAAATAAAATCATCTACAGAAAAACACAAATTTCAAAACCAGGATCAGCTATATATCATACATTAATTAAAGGACAATCTGTACGCAGGACAAAATGTTAAATCAAGATTCAAGAACCATTCTATTTTAGGATTTTTTTTAAAAAAAGTTTTATTAACTGATAAAAAACCTTCAACTAACAGAACAATCACCTTTCTTCTTTTGGGTAAGTGATTAAAAATTATTTTTTTGAGAAGCAAAACAGAAATAGCTTCAACCAAAATAAAAGGCCAAAAAGACATACAAAATTAATAACTCATTGATAACATAAACAAATGGAATCTAAAATTCATTTCAAGTCCAAGAAAGCCTCAAATTTTTAACCATTACTGCTGAACACAATTTAAAATCTTGAAAAGAGTGCTTTTTTCCAACCTTATCATCATCCATTGGAACAACACTATCATTTAAATCAATGTATCTTGTACACGAAGCCAAAACTATTTCCGCAGCACCTTTCCAATGAATATGAACTTCAGATTCAGGCTGTAAACAATACAGAAATAGAAGAAAGTATGAGTAACAACATAATTGTATTGTTGCAAGGGCAGAGTATGACTGGTCTGAATATCTTTAGAATTCCACAACTTCCATGCAACATCATTATTATTTCTGTTAGAATGTTATATATATATATATGTTGGGCCATTATGTAATTACATTATATTAGTAGGCCCTTGTGTTATTAAGGAGGCTTGTATCCCTTATATAAGCCTATATAGGCTTATTTGGTTGTGGGTCGGTGAAATATATACATTTGTTCTCTCTGTTCTCTCTATCTCTCATGATAAACAACATGGTATCAGAGCGGGTTGTAGTTGTGATTGCATCTGGGTTGGGTTGTTCTTCTACAAATCAAAATCAAGATCGAAGCCAACTCTGTTCTTCGCTGAAGATTTGTTCGTCGTTCTCAAATCTGACGCCTTTCGTTTTGCTGGTCGAGGCTTCCTTGGCTGTCGCAAGTTGCAGAAGCTCCATCATCACGATCCCTTTCCGCTCCGTTGTTAGATTGCTGTTTTTTTTTGTTGTTGTTGGGTTGTCGTCACCACTGCAAGGGCTAGGGTGTGTACTAGCCTTGTTTTTCCATTGCGAATCTCGGGTGCTGGAATTTCTTGTCGGTGGCAGAGTTCTGGTTCTCGCCGGCGCTGATTGTGAAGGAGAAGGGTGGTGTTTGGCTGCAGGAGTGAGGCTATTCCAACCCTGGTTTACTAAACCTGGGATAGTTATTCCAACCCTGGTTTCATAAACCCGGGATAGCCCAGATTCGGCCCGTTTGACCAGATCCGATCCGAGGCCCAATCCGTTTGTCCAGATCCGACCCGTTCGTCCAGATCCGACCCGTTATCCGGATCTGACCCGCTCGTCCAGATCCGACCTGTTCTCGGATCCGACCCGTTTGCCCAGGTTCGGCCCGAATACCAATTCTGCTTCATATTTTCTTCTCTGTTTTGCTGGGTAAGACATGGCCTCCACTTCAGATTTGTTTTCTCCCACTTCTGGTCTTCATTCTTCCATGACTTCTGTTAAACTCAATGGGAAGAACTATATACTGTGGGCTAAATCAGTTAAAATTTTTCTCAAAGGTAGAGGCCTTGGTAATCATCTAACTAAAGAGAAACTCAAGGAAACTGATGCTTCTTTTGATGCATGGGAAAAGGAAGATGCTCAGATCATTTCTGTGATGATAAACAGTATTGAACCCCAAATTAGTATAACTTTACTTTATTTGGATACTGCAAAAGAGATATGGGACAGATTGCAGCAACTGTATTCTGGGACAGGTAATATCACTCGTGTTTATGAGCTTTGTAAGCAGTATTTTCATCTTGAACAAGGTAGTCACAGTATAGAAGAGTATTATTCCAAAGTTATGGGCATTTGTGAGGAGCTGAATATGTATCAGCCCATTACTGCTGATGTTCGCAGTATGCAACAACAACGTGAGGACTTTAATGTTGTTCGTTTTCTTACTGGTTTGTCCTCAGTTTATGAGTCTTTTCGTCCACAGATTATGGGCAGTCCCACACTTCCATCTCTTGCTGATGTGTTTTCTAGACTTCAGCGCGCTACACTTGTCAGTGATACCTCCACTTTGAATACTGGGAAGAGTGGTGAGCGTTCAGCATTGATTGTTTCAAAGGGTGAAAATACTGTTTTCCGTGGAGGTCGTGGGGGACGCTCCACACGTGGCGGTCGTGATTCACGGGGAGGACGTGGCCGTGGCAGGGAATTACGAAAATGTACTCATTGTGGTCTTTCTAATCATACTGTGAATTTTTGTTGGGACCTTCATGGCAAACCATCTAGTTATGCAAATCAAGTTTCCTCCTCTCCGAATGATGTTGCTTCTGGATCTCATAATGTAGCTGAATCAAATACGGTCCCTGTCTCACGTGATGAGTATACTCAGTTTTTGTCTTATAAGCAAGCATCTAATTCATCTTCCACGGCTACCTTTGCCCAATCAGGTACTGCACCCACATATCTATTGTCTTCCACTCGCAGTCCTTGGATCATAGACACTGGAGCATCCGATCATATGACTGGATGTTCTTCTCTTCTATCTGATTTTAATTCTGTACCTCCTTCTCAAAGAGTTACCCTTGCTAACGGTTCCTCCGCTAAGGTTTCAGGTTTGGGGACAACTCAACTTAGTGATTCCTTATCTTTCTCATCTGTTTTATATGTTCCTCAGTTTCCCTTTAATTTAATGTCTGTCAGTAAGCTTACTAAATCTCTTCAGTGCTCTGTTACATTTTATCCTACTTTTTGTGTGTTTCAGGATCTCAAGACGAAGAAGACGATTGGTACGGGGAATGAAGCTGGTGGCTTATATTACCTTGATGTGGCACCTTATCCTGTGGCTTTTCAATCTTCTCTGTCTCCATTCCAGTGGCACTGTCGTCTTGGACACCCGTCACTTCAAGTTTTGCAGCGTCAAGTTCCTAGTCTTAGTAATTTGAAATTCTTGTCATGTGAGGTTTGTCAACTTAGTAAGCACCATCGTGTGTCTTTCGAGTCTAGGGTTAATAATCGTGTCTCTAGTCCTTTTCATTTGGTTCATTCAGATGTATGGGGTCCAATAAAGCATTCTTCAATCAATAAATTTCATTATTTTGTGACATTTGTGGATGATTATTCTCGCCTGACTTGGTTGTTTTTAATGAAAGATCGTTCTGAATTATTTTTAATTTTTCAAAAATTTCGAAAAGAAATCAAAACTCAGTTTGGCTGTCCAATTCGTATTTTACGTTCTGATAATGCTAAGGAATATTCTGCAACCCCTTTTGATACCTATCTTAGTGATAAAGGAATTATTCATCAAATTCATGTGTTTATACTCCTCAACAAAATGGAGTTGCAGAACATAAGAATCGACACCTCTTAGAAGTAACCCGTGCTCTTTTGTTTCATATGCGCATGCCTAAACGGTTTTGGGGTGATGCTGTTCTTACTGCCTGTCATCTTATTAACCGTATGCCGTAATCTGCATTAGATGGCAAATCTCCACATTCTATTTTATTTCCTGATTCTCCTTTGTTTTCTCTTACTTCTCGAGTTTTTGGCTGTGTCTATTATGTCCACAATCTTGGTCCTGGTTTTGATAAACTTGACCCACGTGCCACAAAGTGTGTATTTCTTGGATACTCTCGTTCTCATAAAGGTTATCGTTGTTATAGTCCTGTTTCTCAACGGTACTTTATTAGCGTGGATGTGACCTTTTGTGAGTCCGTCCCATATTTTTCAGATAGTGATTCAATTCTTGATATTACTTCTGAGTCGCTTCTTCCTGCGGTTCCACTTCCCTCACTTTCTCTTCAGCCTAGATCTCCTTTGCCTGCCCCGTTACAGGTGTACACTCGAAGACCAAAGCCATCTGCTGTCGTGCCTCCTCCGTCGTCTTCAGAGTCTTTGGATCCAACACCTTCCACTGTGTCTGAATCCTTGCCTATTGCACTACGTAAAGCTCCTCGCTCCTGTGTTACTAAACATCCCATTGCTCAGTATGTCTCTTATAATTCCTTATCGCCATCTTTCTCATGTTTTTCCTCTCAATTGTCTACTACATTTGTTCCTAAGACTGTGCAGGATGCTTTGTCTGATTCGGGCTGGAGGAAAGCCATGCAAGATGAAATTGATGCTTTGCATCAGAATGACACGTGGAATCTTGTTCCTTTATCTCCAGGTGTCAAACCAGTTGGTTGTCGCTGGGTCTACACTGTGAAGTATCTTCCAGATGGGTCCGTTGAGCGGTTAAAAGCTCGCCTTGTTGCCAAAGGTTATACCCAGACTTATGGTATTGACTATGATGAGACGTTTGCCCCTGTTGCTAAGATTTCTTCTATTCGTGTTTTGATTTCTCTTGCTGCTAATAGACATTGGCCTTTATTTCAGTTAGACGTTAAAAATGCTTTTTTGCATGGTGACTTAGTCGAAGAGGTTTATATGGAGCAACCACCTGGGTTTGTTGCTCAGGGGGAGTCTCTTCACACTGTTTGTCGCCTTAAAAAGGCCCTATATGGATTGAAACAATCTCCACGGGCTTGGTTTGGAAAATTCTCTGAGGCAGCATTAAAATTTGGTCTTAACAGATGTCAGACTGACCATTCGGTATTTCACCAGCGCACTAAAGCTGGCTTCATCTTTCTTGTTGTATATGTAGATGATATTGTGATCACAGGTGATGATTCTGAAGGCATTGCTAAGTTGAAGTTGTTTCTGCAATATCGATTCCACACTAAAGACTTGGGTAAACTTAGGTATTTCTTAGGTATTGAAGTTGCTAGATTCAAGAAGGGTATAAGTTTATCACAACGAAAATATGTGTTGGATTTATTAGAAGAAACAGGTATGTTGGGTGGTCGCCCGGTTGATGCTCCTATGGATTCGAATATAAAACTTGTGTCTGATGAGGGTGATCTATTTAATGATCCGGGCAGATTTCGTCATCTAGTTGGGAAATTAATTTATCTCACTATCACTCGACCTGATATTTCATATGCAGTTAGTGTTGTAAGTCAGTTTATGGGAGCTCCTAGAATGCCACATTGGATTGCTGTTCTTCGGATTATCCAATATCTCAAGCAAGCTCCAGGTGTTGGGTTACTATATAAATCAAATGGTCATCTCAGGGTGGAAGGTTTTACAGATGCCGATTGGGCTGGTTCTCCTTCAGATAGGAGATCTACTACAGGCTACTGCACATTTGTAGGAGGCAATCTTGTTACATGGCGAAGTAAAAAGCAAACGGTGGTAGCTCGATCTATTGCTGAAGCTGAGTATAAGGCAATGGCTCATACTACTAGTGAGTTGACCTGGATACAACATTTTCTAAAAGAACTTGGGTTGACAGTTGAAGTTCCTACTCCATTGTTCTGTGATAATCAAGCAGCAGTTCACATTGCCTCAAATCCTGTGTTTCATGAGAGGACCAAACATATTGAAGTTGATTGTCACTTCATTCGAGAAAAGATATTGCTTGGGAGCATCTCTACTCCATTCGTGAAGTCTGAAGATCAATTAGCTGATATGTTTACCAAAGCATTGGGTCATAACCGGTTAAGAACTATCTGTTCCAAGCTAGGATTATTTAATATATATTCTCCAGCTTGAGGGGGAGTGTTAGAATGTTATATATATATATATGTTGGGCCATTATGTAATTACATTATATTAGTAGGCCCTTGTGTTATTAAGGAGGCTTGTATCCCTTATATAAGCCTATATAGGCTAATTTGGTTGTGGGTCGGTGAAATATATACATTTGTTCTCTCTGTTCTCTCTATCTCTCATGATAAACAACAATTTCTAACTGGACCACAGATATATTTTAAAGCCTTTAATACCATTGTTTTTTATCACAATCCATGATACCATAGATTCATTGCAATAAAACATCTGGTATTCAGCCAGGCTACTTTTCTAATACAACTACAATCTCTATCAAAACTCAACATTAGGAGTTTCAACATAATGACAATTTATAACACTAGTCAATAATCTTATTTTCACATTCAACATGATTATCTACAGTTTATTGATTTCTAAAATTTAAATGCAAAAATACAATAACTCCGTCACTTTTCTAACAGACCTAAGGCAGGAGTGTCAACTCTCGGCAGATACTTAATTAACTATAATACAAAGGTAGATGAGTTGGTCAAGACAATGGCTTAAGCAACAAACATCTCAGGTTCAAATTTCTCCCAGGTAGATGAGCTGGAAGACATGTCATCTAATCCTAATGCACACATAAATGCAACAAGTAACCTTTTATAGTTTAGTTATTTTAGTGTTGCCCAGTATCTTTTCATCCAACCAATCTTATGTTTACTACTTCAGTGTTGGCCATATATTTGAAAAAAAAAAAATCCATATCAGCAGATACCCAATTATCTAACCTACAAAGGCAGATGAGTTGGTCAAGGCAATGGCTTAAGAAACAAACATTTCAGATTCGAATTTCACCCGGACTTGTCATTTATCTAATGCAAGTGGTCTAGTGGATGATAGAGTCATCTAACGCATAAGGTTTTCGAGACTTACATTGTTGGTTTTATGATGATAGGGTGTTATTAAACGAAGTATTTCACATGAATTTCAGTTTCTGGAATTTCACAAGGGGTAGAAACTTGTGCAACCAGAAACATGTTGTTGAGAAATGCACCGAGTATTTTTTCTGTTGTTTACTTCTTTTACTGTTTGCCCAATATCTTCTCAACCAACCAATCTTCAAATGTTCAATATTTTTCAGTGTTGACCAAAAAAAAAAAAAAATCTAGATATGCTCCAAGCAATCATCTGACAACTAACCTCACTAATCATGAGAAAAAAACCAGCCCTATTCGATTCATGACTTTCTTTTCACTCGTTAATAATCTTAAAAATTCACTCAAAAAACCAATTCCCTCTTGAACTATTTTTCGATTTTTTCTCCTAGTCACCTCCCAGTGTTTGAAATAATGAAACCATAAGCATACAACCAATAAAATCAATCTCCAATGTGACAACAAAAGAAGAATACAACTGTAATGTTGAAGCAATATGATTAAAGTGAAAGGACATGCAACCGTTCAACACAAAGGTGATTCTTTTTGCCTAAAGAAAGCAATTCATTTACCAGTTTAAGTGCAACGCCCCCTCGTTTTTTCTCTGAGTTGAAGGGGAAAACATGGACAATTGAAGACTCTGATCTGACAGCATCAAAAATCATTCCAAGCTACAAAAAAAATTAAGACATGGAATTAAATCACTTTTTGATATTAAAAAATAAAAAAAATAAAAAAAAGAAAAAGAAAAAGAAAAAGAAAAGTGCAATAAAGTAGAAAAATTAGCAAAGGTACATTGACCCCCCACTGGAGAATGGCCTTTTCTGTTGGTGATCCAGAAAGCTCCACATCTCCATCGCCCTGTCAAACATCAACAAGAGCAACATGATAGAATCAAATGCTTCAAAAATTTTAATGATAAGAAAAGACTTCACAAATATCATATACTATAAAACGGGACAATACCAAACAGGCACACAACAGTTCCAAGATCACAGTAAAAATGGACCTCAATTACTTGCTCTAATTGCTGGATTGGGCCTCAGTTATAAAAGCCAGCGGACTAGCTGAGAAACAATTAATTACGTAGGAATGACTAATAAGGACCAGAAAAATTTACATCTAATATTTAGTCCCTTGAAACATGCAAGACCTTGTAACTAATTAACCAAATACAGGGAGCAAAAATGCATGCAACATCAGCTAAACGACATTTCACTTACATGTACAAATTTATATATTTGAGAGAGTATTTTTTAAATGGGTAAAGTGCAAAAAAAACCCAGCTATATAAAACTGTGGAAAAAAACATCCCTGCTATTTAGTATGCATAACTGCATATAAATCCCTAACATTTAAAATGTAATGACAAACAACCAAGAAACAGTCACACGACAAAGACAAGCACGCCACACACAATGAACACAAAGATTTAGCTTGGTTTGACACAAGTTGTGTCTATGTCCACGGTGAAGATCCCACAAAAGGTTTCACCATGCGAAAAACAGGACATTACAAGTTTCAGCCCCCAAACCCTAGCTCTAGCTTTCAGTATCTGAGTGTCTCTAAATATCCCACCCCAAACGGCTACAAGAGAGTACCGAACAGGGTCCACGACCTAGAACCAAATTTAGGCCACAACATCACATAGAATATTTGCAAAATGCCCCTTGGCCGTCAATTTTGACCAATATTTTTTTTATTAAAACCCCAAAATACCATTAATAATCAATGTTTTATGAAATCAGTGTTTTTTATTTTTATTTTGTCTTAAGGGCATATTAGGTATTTCAGTCTTCAAATTGACAAAATGTCCTTATTTGCTCAATTTGAAAAATGTAGAGTTTTTTTTTTTTTTTTTTTTTTTTAACACCAGGGTATATAAGAGGGTTTTTTTTTTTGCACTTTACCCTTGTAAAATAATTATCTCTTTCCTTCCCTTCCACTCAACCAAACAAAACAAGGATGAACATTCTCATATCCCTAGCGATGCCTGTTCCATCCCTCCTCCTCTCCCTTCCACTTATTTTTCCTCTCTCCCACCAAAATGGGGGAAAATCCCTTTATACCAATAATGAGGAACAAATAGGTGGAAAACCTTGACATATAAGAAGGATAATTAGGAGGCTTTTTACATTGAACAAGTAATCTCACCCACATACAACTCATAAGCCAAGGCTATGTCAACAGAGTGCATTATATGCCTTTCTTAAGTGTACATCTGGGTGCGACCAATTTACTTTTATGACCTGCTTAGTGTAAGTTATATTTTTGCATAATCCCAAAACACTGACCTACATTAAAAACATATATCAAGCTATATGCAGTGATGTGCTCATTCAATAAAATTGTATACCAGTGTTTCCCACCAAATTCTCCCAAGTATGATACAGCAACACAAATTTTTTGAGCAACGAAGTCTATTTTCCTCAAGTAACTAAAGTTCCAAATAAGTCTAAAAAATCCAAAACCAATTGTTCTTACTCGGTTCTCATATTAACTTCTACAATATTGCGGAAAATTTTTTAAACAATAAAAATCCATTAGAATCTTAAAATGTTGTCCTCCACTGCCTCTAATTTAGAGTCATTTTTAACTTCATCATTTATCCTATCCTAGTCCAAATCAAGAATTCAGTTCATTTTCAAACCTTTTTTTTTTTTTTTTTTTTGTAAAAGCATATCAATAATTCCAAGAAATGTAAAAATCTTTATCCTTGGGAGAAAATATATATATATATATATATATATATATATATATACATACATACACACTTTCCAAATACTTTAACGATGCAAATGTTGAATGGGATTCTTCAAGTGCTTTTGTATAAGCCGCATCAATTTCATATGAACATAGAAGAATCGCCACAATAATAAAAAACAAAAAAACCTATCCAAGGAACAGCTATCATTTCAACCTGCACTAAGATATGCCAATAATACAAATATCAAATTATTGGTCACAACCCATGTATAGGGAAATTTGTTAATGTGAGAATGATGCACTCATATTATAATTTTCAACTTAAAATCTCTAATTATCAATGCAGAAAGTTCAAGCTAAATGACAATAAACTCCAATCAAACAAAATCAACACTTAACTCTTTCACCCACCTCAGTCATAAAGACACTCCCAGTTGTATTCTGTGCTACACCTTCAATAAGCAGCGATTTAACGGTAGGGGGCAACCGCGACCTATCGTTCGGAGAGTCAATTTTACTCCCACCAACATAGGCCTCCACCACAGTCATCTGTAACAGAAGAAAAATTTTGACAATTAGAAAAAAAGACATTTCTCTTAATCTTCTTGCCACTTCCCCTCTTCCATCCTAAAAAATAAAACGCAAACAAAGAAAAAGAAAAAAGAAAACATAGAGAAATTGTGACAATTAGAGGGGGACCAAAAAAAAAAAAAAAAAAAACCTTCTCTCAATCTTCACGGAAACAAACAAAAAAACCTTCCCGATCCTCCAAAATGACCTCTGGCATTGATGGTGAGTTTCATGTCACACACTGATGGGGAACGGGGTGTAATTCGCACACATGAGCTGCACGTGTTCCAACGTTACTTTTGGAGAAGAGGGAAAGAGAAATAAAATTAAGGATTTTTGTAATTTAGGGTTTTATTTATGCTTATTGTTCTATTTGATCATGTTTGAATTTTAGGGTTATTTTGGTCTTTTTATGTTTCAGGGTTTGCTTAATAATTTGCCTATTTAAAGGCTCCTATGTAATTTGAGAACTCAGTTTTTTGGAATATTGAATATTATCGTTGAGTTTGCGAACTCTCTCTCGTTGTATCTATTCTCCCTTGTGTTCTTGTTGTTCTTAATCCCTCAGTCTCTCTAGCCTACCTCCTCCTGTCAGATTTCTCATCTCATTCGTCTATTTTCTCACCTCCTTCATCAGTCGCATCTCATCTTCTCATTCTCATCCCCTTCTTTTTTTCTGGTTACTATTTACACACTACTTGTCTTGCGTCATACACACCAACTAAACATCAACTGATAAAACAAAACAAACAAAAGGAAAAAAAAAAAAAAAAAACGTAGAGAAAGAAAAGAAAGAAAACAAAGAATGTCTAAACATTCTATTGACATCAACCTCCAAGTAACCAATAAGACCTAGATAGATCTGATATTATATAACATCTTCTTGGGATCTCTCAATTTCTTCAAGCCAAAGCACTAAAGCGGTTCTTAATGAAGACTATATTTACGAGTTGCAAAGATCCTTCTCCAAGTGAACTCAAAAATAAAAGAACACTCGTTGACCAAAAATTGAAACCATGAATTGTCCACTAAAAAACCAATTTGGAATATTAGAGAAGCAAAATACGTGCTCAAGAAACAGCACAATAATCACCTGATTCAAAGTCAAGGTCCCAGTTTTATCGCTACAAATTGTAGTTGCAGAACCCATGGTTTCAAAAGCAGAAAGCCTCCTGACCTGCAGTTCAGTAGTAGTAAAACCATAGAACAAATGCACGTCTGTATCAATGTCACTACCAGAAAGTCGGAGAAGAAAATTTCAATAAAATCTTAGTTATCAAAAAAAAAAAAAAATTTCTGAGGAAAAAAAAAAAGAAAAAAAAAGGTCATGCATACCAAGGCCTTGTCTGCCATCATTTTTCTCACTGAGTAGGCAAGTCTGTAATACAATAATGAAATGAAGGAAATAAAATTAAAAAGGAAATAATGATAAGAAATGAAACAAACAAACACAAAGAAGCATCATTAAGATGTTAGAGGTAGCACCGAGACGAGTTGGGCATGTACAGAAAAAACTAATGATTTTTTTTTTTTGACAAGTAAGAAAATTTTATAAAAGCGCTCAAAAGGGGAGCGAAGCCCTGAAGATATATACAAGGCCACCAAGGACCTTTAAGCCTTCAAAGAGGCCAAAAAATCGACAATTTCCTCTAAAGATCTATGATCTCTCCCAGAAACCCAACAAAAAAGGGTGAAAATAATAGAGAATTTAAGAGTAGAAATCGACAACTCTTTCCCATCAAAATATTTTCTATTTCTTTCGATCCAAATACACCACCACACACAAAGAGGCGTAGCCCTCCAAGCATCCAGAATGTGAGGCCCCACATGGCAACCTCTCTAAGCCTCAATCAACCCTCTAACGGATCCAGGCATAACCCAAAGAATCCCAAACAAGCCAAACATCAAATTCCAGCAGTCTCTAACCATGGTGCAATGGAGGAGAAGGTGATCCACAGTTTCCTCATCCCAAAGACACAAATAGCAACGATTGACCACCACCTGATTTCGCCTTCTCAAATTATCCTGGGTTAAGATCCTTCCCAAAACAGCAGTCCAAGCAAAAAAACCCACCTTGAGAGGAGCCTTGGAGCACCAAACAGCCTTCCAAGGGAAGCGAGCTCTAGTAACATCCATGAGGCATCTGAAAAAGGATCTAACCTCAAAGCGCCCATAAGAGGTTGCAACCCAGGACCAACAATCAGAAACCCCATCCACAATCCTCTGGCGATACAACAACTCCAAAAAACGAATGGCCTCCTCAATCTCCCAATCCTGAAACAACCGCCTGAATCGAACATCCCAAACAAGAGTCCCACTATGAAGATGATAACAGTTAACCACCATGGCCTGCCTATCCGTAGCAATCCTAAAAAGATGAGGAAAAGAGATGGCGAGAGGAGAATCCCCACACCACACATCCTCCCAAAAACTGATCCTCCTACCATCCTTGATTCGAAAACGAACGTGTTTGGAAAACTCATCCCATCCCTTCCGAATGACTTTCCAAACCCCCACAACCCGAGGGCCACGCACCTCCAGAGAACACCACCCTCCTCTAGACTCCCCAAAACGACAAGCAACGACCCTCCTCCAAAGCCAATGCCTCTCCACCCCAAATCTCCACAACCATTTACCAAGAAGAGCCTTATTGAAAGGCACCAGTCTTCCAAGACCCAAACCACCAAAACGAATTGGCCTGCACACCTGATCCCAACAAACCAGATGAAACTTAAACTCTTTGCCTCTACCCCCCCCCCCCCCCCCCCCCCCCCCGGGCGGAAATTACGCTGCAATCTCTCAATCCTTTCCGCAACTAAAGAGGGAATCTGAAACAGAGAGATAAAATAAGTAGGAAGGCAAGAAAGGGTGCTCTTAATCAGAGTGACCCAACCGCCCTTGGAGAGATACTACTTCTTCCAACCAGCTAACCTCTTCTCAAATCTATCCATCACAGGATCCCAAACCCCAACACATCTTGATGGGGCCCCCAAAGGCATCCCTAAGTAAGAAATGGGAAAAGAGCCAGTACGACAACCAAGAATATCAGCAAAAAACTCAATCTCAGGAACCTCTCCCACCGGCACCAAAATGCTTTTGCCCACATTCACCTTAAGGCCAGAAACAACTTGGAACCAGATCAGGATACACCTCAGATAACGTAGCTGGGACACATCCGCATCACAAAGAACCAAAGTGTCATCGACAAACATCAAATGAGAGACCTCCAACTGGGGAGCAGCATCCCTGCCCACCCAAAAGCCTCTCAAAAGCCCCAACTCAGTAGCCTTGCTCATCAATCTGCTAAGGGCCTCCATCACAAACAGGAACAAGAAAGGGGAAAGCGGATCCCCTTGTCTCAAACCCCTCGAGTTAGAGAAAAAACCGGTAGGAGCACCATTCACAAGAATCGAAAAGCGAGCACTGGAAATACAAAAATAGATCCATCTCCTCCACCGATCCCCAAACCCCATCCTCTCCATCAAGTAAAGAAGGAAGCTCCAACTCACATGGTCGTAAGCCTTCTCCAGGTCAAGCTTACACAAAACTCCCGGAACCCCACTACACAAGCGGGAGTCCACACACTCACTAGCAATAAGAACTGAGTCCAAAATCTGACGACCTCCCACAAATGCATTCTGAGAATCAGAGATGATGCCATCCAAGACTTTCCTAAGCCTTGAAGCAAGGACCTTGGCAATCAACTTATAGAAACACCCCACCAAACTAATAGGGCGAAAATCCCTAATATCCATCGCCCCCCCTTTCTTCGGAATGAGAGAAATGAAAGTGGCATTCAAGCTCTTCTCAAAAGAGCCCTGAGCGTGGAACGCATGAAAAGAGCCCATCACCTCCCCTTTAACCACCTCCCAGCACTCCAAAAGAAATCTCATGGTAAAACCATCAGGACCCGGGGCTTTATCCCGTTGCAACTCTTCAAAGCAATAAGAACTTCCTCTTCAGAGAAAGGCACCTCCAGACCCGAGCAGTCCTCACTAGAAATAGAGGCAAACTGAAGCCCTTCAAGCAAAGGTCTCCACTCAACGGACTCAGTAAACAACTTCTTGTAGAACTCTGAAATGCCCTTGCAGATATCCTCCTCCTTGCAAAGAAGCACCCCTTCCACATGAATCCTCCCTATATGGTTGCCCCTTTTATGAGCATTGGCCAATTTATGAAAAAATTTCATGTTACTATCCCCCTCCTTGAGCCATAAAGCTTTAGACTTTTGTCTCCACGAGATCTCCTTCGTGATTGCAATCTCAGCAAACTCCCCCTTACACTCCGCCCTCCTAACCATCAAAGCATCTGCTAGATCCCCTTGACCTTCCATCCTATCAATATCAGCGATCTCAGCAAGAATCCGGTTTTTCCACCACACAAGATTCCCGAAGACCTCTTTGTTCCAAATCTTAATGCTTCCTTTCAAACGACACAAATGACTTGCAAGCGAATGACTCGGGGTGCCTAACACCCCGAACCCCTCCCACCAAAAACGGACCCTTTCCAAGAAACCCTCAACCCTAAGCCACATATTCTCAAATCTAAATGGAGAGAGTTTACTCCGCAACACGCCACAATCCAGCATCAACGGAACATGCTCAGAGATAGGACAAGCCAAAGTAGCTTGCACGACATCAGAAAACATCTCCTCCCACTCCCCAGACAAAAGGAACCTGTCAAGCCGAGAGAGAGTGGGGGGAGAACGTCCACTGGACCAAGAAAAAGGCCCTCCCTCCAGAGGCAGATCAATCAACCTACACTTATCAATGAATTCCGAGAAAAGCTCCATATCAGAAGTCCATTTACCCCCCATCGACCTCTCAAAAGGAGATTGAACAACATTGAAGTCTCCTCCAACACACCAAGGAAGCATCCATCGTCTTCAAATCTCCCCCAATTCCTCCCAAAGCAGATGACGCACACTATCCTCTGTAGGCCCGTAAACACTAGAAAAAACCCAAGGAACACCATCCTCCACCAAGGAAAACACACAAGAAGCAGAAAATCTCCCAACAAGAGAATCCACCTTAGACACCCATCTGTTATCCCACGTGATCAAGATGCCACCCGAAGAGCCAACAGCATCCAAAACAATCCACTCCACAAATCTCCCACCCCAAAGACTACGCACCAACCTATCCGACGCCGAAGCGAGTTTAGTTTCTTGCAAACACACCACATGACCTCCCCTTTTACGAATGACCGACTTCACCACTTTTCTTCTGACACAGTCATTAAGACCCCGGACATTCCAAGAAAGGATTTGTAGCTTCATAGGGAAACAACAGAATTAGAAAGCCCTACCCTGCTTCCACCATCACTCTCCCTAGATCCCCTATTCCTCCTTTCATATGTGATAAAACCAGTGGAATTTTGCAACACCAAATCCCCCACCCCATCCTGTCTTCTTCCCCTACTTCCCCTACCTCCCACCTTTTCCTTGAGTTGAGAATTGAGAACTTCCTGAAACAACCGCATCGCCTCATCCTCCTTACCCTCAAAAGAAACACCCAACTGAGAACCCACATCCATCCCATTCTCCCTCACCCACTCCTCCTCCAAATCATTCAACTCTTCAGAATCAGAAGGACCTCTCATCCAATCCTCCTCCGGACGAACAACAGCCAAAGGAACAGCCAAGTTCATTGCTTGCTCAATGTTTTCCCATTGAACTGAACCCAAATCCCCATCAGGTACAAAACCAGCATCACCCTCCCAATCATCAAGTACAGAAGAGGAAAGGGAGCAATCAGACAGCAGTGAGTCAGGATCCTCCCCAAACTGGACAGATTTCGAGGTCAAAAGGTCCCAAATCTCCTTCAACAGAACAGTGGCAGAAGCATCATTGATCATCACCCTTACATCCCGTCCCACACAGACCGTAATACCTTCACCAAAATTCTCTGAAAGACGAGCGAGACTAAGCCCATTCATAGACCCGTCGTCATGACCTTCAACTGACTCTAACACCGAGTCACTTTTGCCAACCAGAGCCAAAGAATTGGAAACAGTGCTCACCCCACCCTTCTCCAACCCCAACGATCTGCTCGATCCCCCAACAGAAGGAGAAGGAGAAGAAGAGAAAGTATGGAGAAAAGAGGACCCAGAAAAAACTGTGGACTTAACCGGATCAGAACCCAATTGAGAAGCCATCACCCATTTCTGCTTGGCCTTTCGAGTCCACCTCTTACTAAGTGCAGGAAAGATGACTTTCTTCTTAGATAGGCGATGACGTTGCACAGGCTTTCCTCGCCTATCCTCTCTGAAACTCGCACTGAGAGAACCCGATGGCTGAGAGCATCTTCCGTCCACTAAGGAAGACAAAGATAAGGGCCCAAACTTGTTGCTCAACCCAACTCCAAAGCAAGAAGGGAC